GCCAGAGGTCTACTTAGATAGTGATATCGATGTATCTGAGGTTGAATAAAACCTGTGTAGCAATAACATTAGCATCTGAAATGCAAAATTAGAGTGCAAAATTTCGCATTTATAATATAAGCCTCAAAGGCTCAAACTTTGAATAAAATTTTTGAGACTGTTGTGGAAATAAATGACGGCCTTAAACAAATTAGCTATGATACATTTACATTCCTCCAATGTGGTCTAGTGATGAGTTACGATGAGGAGACCTGTGATCGGGCAAACTCAAATATCTTTCACCAGATGGTGAATGTCTGCTGTAAACATTTTGTAGACCAAATGGTATTTGTTGTTGCCCATGGATTGGAGGAGAGTACAGTCGAGGTCTCTGTCCGGAAACTGGAGAGTACATACTTGAAACCGGAGAATAAGAATTTGGAGGCAGATGTTCATATGCAGATACATTTCTTCCTATACCACCATGTGGAATCATATATTCAGGGGATCTCCTGAGACTTGAGCGGTGAGGAAATGCTGATGACGGGCCGAGGTAACTACTCACAAGAGCTGATATTTCATCTCTATCTTCGTCTCTGTGACTAGGAAAGCTTCGATCACGGTAGATAGGAGAATAAGATGAAGAAGCTACTGGTGGCATTTCCATGGCTGACAACCTTGGACGTTTCGTCTGTTGGTTATACAATCTATTGGCGAGTACTTCTTCCTCCATTAAACTGATGGATCGTGCTTTCTCTTTCATCTCTTTGTTGAGCTGAAGAGTGTCTTTCTTCAGCTTAATCATTTGCTCTTTGATCTGCCACTCTGGTACTTCCTTCGCAGGGTCTAACTTGTGAGCCTCCAAACACTGCATCACTGATAATAGCGCAGCTAATTGCTTTTCATTCGCCTCTTTCTGTTAAGAAAATAAAGCTAACAATGGTCAGATTCAGATGAGGAAGAAGAGTTCATGAAGGTACATAATATGCAAGGAAGGGTCATACAAATGCCACTGGTGAGTGGGCTTTCTGTTTAGCCCTCTCAAATGACTCCTGGCTCATCCTCAAGAATGCAGTTAGAAGTGAAGAAGCTGAAAACCTATCCTCCATCCCAAAGATATAAACCAACTCCAGAGCTTCAATATGCATTCCACGCTTGATACTTGATTCAACTATACCTATGACCAATAGAATATTGTGTAAGAAGGACCAGTTATTAACCCTTTACAATCGGCATTGCTGAAGGCTTTATTAGTAATCAAACGCAAAGTCATATGATTTATCGAAAACCACAGCAAAACAACAATTTTGTGAATGTGCAGCTTTATTTCCTCTCATTGCTCTCCTAGTATATTGCGTGGTACATACAATTATACTCCCAAGCATACCGAAAACAAAGACGGGTCTTGATGCTGGTCGATTCTATCAACAAAAGGAACCACCTTTGCAATCAAATTAATCGAGTAAAGACAGAACATGGTACCTGAAATCATAGGAACAAGAAAGGTTGACCGTTTAAGAGCACCAGCAATCTCAGCAGAGCCACTCTTCCGTATCAAATCCAACAAATCCATATTCCTAAAGTTTGAAGGAACCCCAAAACAAGCAATCAGTAGAAGCAAACCCCTTGCGTCCATTTGCTCTGCCGCAGCTAATCCTCCTTCAACCATCAGTCTTTTCCTCCACGCAACAGCAGCAGCCTCCGCCTCATCCTTGATAGAACTCTCAATCCTAATCTTGAGCTTCTTCTTGTCTTCGCCAAGCTCCGGCATAAGAAGAAACGCCTCCATAATAAGAAGAGAAACCTGTCTCGCAGGGATCATAGGCGAATCCTTGGAAAATGCTTTGCGCCCTTGTAAGTAAAACTTCCCAATGCATTCCAACACGAACTTCGCTGGCTCCTTGGCGTGCTTCAGAGCTGCCGGGAGCTCTTCCATTAGCTTCGCTCGATCAGAGATATTCGTGTACATGTATCTGCGCAGGCCTTTGCTGCACATCAACTCGCACAATCGTTGAACCTCCGCCTTATCCGACACTGTCGATTGACCCACAATCACGGCGGTGTCTCCAGAAGCATCGTTTGATAACAATGGCGACGCCGAGTGGAAGGAGGAAGAGGCAGCGATGTCGATACCGCTACTCTTGAGTTTGGATTCAATAGCGTCCTCGATGTAATCCATGTGTCTCTGCAGGTCGTCGTAGTGGCGTTTGAAGGCGTCTACTGCAGCTGATAACGCAGCCAAATCGTCGATGGATTTAAAAAATTGCGGATGTTTAGACTGAGCGATCGTGATTTCCATATTGGTAGAATTGGTATTGACAGATGCCGGAAATTCTCCCCGTCGTTCGGATTGATGTCGCCGTGTAATCGTCGCCGATGAGGGTAGCGACGACGGTTGCTCCTCCCTCATGGATGGATGAATCGTCCAGGGATCAGAGAACCGTTACCCAAGGCCAAGGGAATGTGGAGAAGAAGAAAGATTGCAGAATCGAAAGCCCTAAATTCGACTATAGAGTT